TCGATTTTGTAACTTATCTCTATAATAGAAGTGGTTTCACACCAATTTTTGACATCATGCCCCAACCACACTGTCCAATTATATAAAATTGTACTTAGTTTATTCTAGATGAAAAAAATCGCAGACGTAACCACTTGGGTAAAAAACTATTTTTGTTTTTGTTAAGTCTTAATCGAAGAGGTTGCAATCTTCAGCCGAACGGAGTGGATGTAAATGGCCAATGGCCTTGTAATTATTTTCTGTGCAGAGTGATTAACTCGTTAGTTGATTTATATTTGCCGTAGAGTTATTTATTGCCGAGCGTATCTGACATGTTGCATGCATGTAGGCAGAGAGGCATGTTTTCTCCGTTGCATGTTAATTTCGAATAGAATTTTAAAGGTGCCCTCCTCTCCACCTTCATTACTGGCTAAATTTCTATTAAGCGATTCCCATTGTTATCGCACTCTTGCGTCTGCAACTATTAACATATTATTATTGGGATTTATGGTTTCTTTATTGTGCCGCAGAAATTACAATAATTATTCCTAATTGAACTGTCAAAATCCATATATACAGAAAAAATATGTAATATAAACCCTTCCTACTACAAAAACATGAATCATCATCAGATATTATGTAATGAAACGTTTTAATTATCAAAATTAAAATCGAATCTTGATTCATACTCGTTTGAAATCTATTTTTGATGATTTAACGCTTTGAAAAATATCTTCACTCCAGTTTTATTACTATAACCAAAATATACGTACCTACAAAGTTTCAGTACTGCTTCCTAAAGTACATTAATTATTCCTAATTGAACTGTCAAATTTTAATATGTAATGGAACCCTTCCGACTCCAGCATGAATCATCATCAGTAGTAACTAATGAAACGTGATGAAACTAGCGTTCTGGTTAAAATTAAGATCAGGAAAGAGGCAATTCCTTTCATAAACACCGATTCCCATTTAAGTTGCTCGATTATAACAAGCGCGAAATGATGAAAAGGGCATGGCATTAGTTCGCCTGCAAAACCGAGCCCGCGCGGCGCTTATTTCTAGACAATGGCTTGAATTAAGTGAGGCTTAGCTGGGGCTCGTTCAAATTACGGCCCGTGTAATTCCGTCAGATTAGCGCGATCCTAAACGCAGCCATGAATTGTCAGATATGATCCTGACACATTACTACCTCGTTATAGTCTAAAACCGAGTGGAAAATAGCGCGCATACGTTATTTTTTGCATTCGATGTTTTCGTTATCTAAATCCGACAGGTTTAAATGCAATCTGAACAATGCCGAACTATTTTTAGCAAAAATAACAACAAAAATTAAAAATATAAATATTTAACATGGTGTTTATTGTCGCTGATAGCTATTAAATTTATTAAGTACAATATTAAATTAACAAACATGTTATATTTAGTAATGCTCATGTAACACGAACATAAAATATAAATTATCGGTATAATATTTTCGCATTTAGCTCTAACATTCATTTTACATTACTATTATCGAAATGCATTAATGGAACCCTTGTAGTTTGTATGTTACAAATTTTGTTAATTAATTAACTTTGCGCATATGCGATTTTTTTAATTGTTTTGTTGCTTGGATAAACGCAGAAAATTCGTGGTGAGGATGGTCGAAAAAGCGTTGGTACTGGGCAAGGGGGAAAGAGTAAAAAAGCACGCGAGGCTGCTAATTAGATATCAAAGAGCTGCACAGTACTATCTCCCATCTGCGATCGGTACGGCATTTCTCGATTTCATTCACCTTATGCGGCTAGCGTAATTGGATCCAGTAATCCGATAGCTCAACCGATAAGTACAGTCTGCTTACTTATCGACTGTGGGAAATTGGCTTCGTCGGGTAAAAATACGGTACTACTTACTACCAGTCGATCGATCGATTGCCACTGACAAAAAAACAATTCTCACGAGGGAGCAAACACAAGAAACTGCTTAAAACACAATTAAAAGGGCAGCTCGCCTTAAAACATAACTATGCTTTTATCTGCCATTCTTTTCATGCGCAAGCCCTGATTTCAACTTTCTACTTTAAGAATGTACCTACGAAATAAATGTTGAGCCTATAAATCTTATTGATTTTTTTATATTAAACTAAAGATTTTTATACAAATAACATTATCCAGATGGAAGGAAAATTCGGATCCACCAAACACAGGTAGTGCCGTACAGTTGCCAGATACGTAGGAGAACTGAAAGGTTGTAAAATAACCCTGGGAGAACAGTGTAAGGCGTTGCGTATGTGGCCAGACATACGTTCCTTATAATCATACTCATACTCATAACATTATCCAAATTAAAACCAACACCTTACAACTACAAACTGGAGCGTAAATTACTTAAAACTGGAATAGCATCCATTTCCAACTCTTTGAGTCTGACTGATTTGTTGACCCCAAAAAAAGTAAGAAAGAGTCCTGGAACGCCATGGAATACCCTCTATGCAAAATATGCGTTTTAACACATTAACCAACGCGTTGCAAACACACTTCAAAACTAATCCTTGTAGGGTTTCCTGAAATTAACTTTTGTATTACTTGATCATGCAAATCATCCTTATTTTGATCAAGTTGATGGCACTGGAATCTTACGTATCAATTTATTTAATAAATATAATTAATATTATTAGTTTTAAAATAAGATTGCGTTTCCATAAATTCTGTTTTAATTTAAAACATTTATTTGATACAAGTGCATACTGGAGTAGGTAAACGCGCAGACAAGTCACGCTACCATGAATCATTTAATATTGGAAAATTCCGGGGATTTACGAGGGCCAAAGTGTCTGCCGTAAATCAACATTAATACTGAAGTAGGATATGGGGTGGCGGTGCGCGGGGTTGAAAGAAAGTTTCGAATATTTCTCGCCGTCCCCATTCATCTTGCGTTATCTCTTCGTGGCACCGGGGACGTGGGGCCGCCGGGCCAAGAAAAAGACAAAAGGATGTGACATTCCAATTTCCATTTTATATCGGGATTCTTCAGAGCCCACAGACACTTTATCAGCCGCGAGCGCGATACGCGCTAGCATTTAATTGCCTTTACGGCGATAAAGAAAAATAGTCCACGCAAATTGAGAGATATAAGAAGACGAAAATCCATTATCCGTAAAATGAGACTGTTAAAACATATTTATATAGAAAAATGAGGCAATAAAAAAACGCTGAAAGGCAGAAGTGGTTTCCAAACTACGACCGAATCACGCTTATATATCGAAATTGATGTGGTGGTTAATTTTATCGGGGAGGCCCTAATTTCCAAATTTATCGGCACTGACGGTAGCGAAATGAGGTGTGGGCGGCGCACCGGCTTAATGAACTTTCTTTCTTCAGATGACAATTTAAGACGGCGGTCTACGAAGCGGCAAGTGTCTTATTCTCGGGGACGAGACCCAAGAGGCCACCAGAGTGGGAGGCATCAAGCGGCCCCCGGCCTCAGGTTCCTTCCTTCCTATATAATACTCCGTCTACTCTGTCTAGCACGTCCCGTTAAAGATATATTGCTCCCAATGCATCGTACATAATTTCTCTAGAGCTGTTCGAAACGCCCCCCTCTAAACCCGCCTTCACCAAACGATTTTGGATGCTGCCAGCCAATGCACCTTATAAAACTGTTGTTTTTATACCAAAGAGATACTTTTTTACCAAACAATTTCTTATAATTAAAATGCATTATAATGCATAATGTATACGTTATTTAAAACGATGAAAGTAAAGGACTTTTCCGCCCATAATGTCATAAAATATTATATAAAAAAAACGCTAAGTGCGAAGATTAGTAATGAAGCTAGCGTAAAACAAGTAGTGAATAAGCGTGTTGAGAGAAGTACACGTTTAATTACAGAGTCAAACGTTCATGAGAAACTGCGCCGTTGTTAAGAACAATTTCAATTAATTTGCATCCGATATCCTCGTTTTATTTTGCCTGGTCTCGAAATTTAAAGTGCGCAAAATGTATGCGCGCACCAATACGCGTGGTACTCTATAGTCGTATGCTAATGCAAAATCACTGCCGTCCTAATCTAGATCTTCGAGTAAATACGCTCCACTCTTTTTCTCTCTGCAGAGATACATTGTTGTATTCAGTGGCAGGGACACATTTTGTTTTTATGCTACCCATATGAAGTTTTAAGCTAAATTATTAAATTTAAATGGTAAAAAAATCATATACAAAGGGAGAAGAATAGTTCTTCTCTCTTTGTATATGAATTTTTTATAGTTAATTTATACTCGTTCCCAACATTTGATCATTTTGAGTTTGAAAAAAGTAGATGTACAAATTCATTATCTCAATGAATTCATATATCTTTGGTATAAGAAACGATGGTCAGATTAGATAATTTACGTAGTTGGAGGCCCAGTGCTAAATACGGCTCTGGTCCCTGGTATTCATTCTGAAGTTTCCATACTTCTTTTAGAACTTACTTGTTCTGGATAACTCTCTTTTTTATCTATGCAGTTAAAGAAAATGCAGGCGTTTCACGTAATTTATTTGCAAAATTCGCGAGTTTGGATAGGTGGTTACGAATTCCCGGGAAAACGAGACGCCCTAGGAAAAATACGAGCTGCGTCAACTTTGCGAATTGCTTTATAGCAACAGGAACAAAACCATTCTATTTATTTTTTCCCATCTTAGAGACCCCGACTTCATTCTACGTACAAAATAAATTGTATTAAAAGAGACATTATTCCTAACTTGCTTTGAACGATTTGATTTTACTACCCTATGAATATTATGAACAAGAGTTTCTATATTGAATAAATAGATACCCTATAAATCCTAAAAATAGAAAAACCTAAAGGATTACATTTGCAGGGTAATTTATTCAGACGGCGTATTCCGGATAGTCCAATTTACCGGCATATTAAATTTTTTTAAATAAAAAGAAAGTCTGGCGTCGAACCAAAAAAAAATGTATAATTGCCTTGACATTAAGATGTATCGGGCGTTGTATGCTGAATACCAAAACCAATTCTCGGGTAAGAATCAAGCTACGCTGTGCGTCTAATGGAGTTCACGCCATCCAAAGCGGTCATTGGTAGAGGAGTAGGTCGCATTTCGATTCGGGAGGTTGCTAAATCTGATGGCGCAGAAGGAATAAGAAGTCCCTCGCCGCTTGCGTGCATGTACCATACCAATGGTGTTTTAAATTGGAAAAGATCACTAAAAATAATCTACTTCAATTGATAAATGTAGACTTAGGTTAATATTAAACAAACTAAAAAAGATCCAGATAACTATTTTATCAAAAACAGTTGTCCTCTTCAAAAAGCATCAGATTCGCGCCGATAGAACGGGTTTAAAAATGCCTCGGACGTTAAGAAAGAAATACTTTTTGCATTCGATCTGCCCGTTGAGAATAAAGACATTTGCCGTGTCGAGGTCCAACGAATGTTACCTTCTTCTTCGCGATACGTGGTTTAAATCTTTCGAAAAGCGCTTGATTTATGAACGGTGCAAATGTACTACATCCAATTAGAAAAAAATGATACGATGAAATGCAAAATAAGAAGGTATATTTTAAGATTTACGAGGGCATATTGATAAGTCCTTAGAATAAGTATGAAAATGCAATATTTTGGGTCAAATTAGGTTTTATATTTTAACATCATCTTCTTTTATCTCAAAACATTTAACAGTCGTTTAGAGTCTACAGCGTCGAGTGCTTCAGCATTTGAGGCATATCTTTTTCAGCCAACAATATTCCTTGATTTTTTCAATTGTTAGAACGGCTTTGTTAGCTGAGGAATTAATTGTCTTGGTGAATCATGTTTTGTGTTTGCCAAATGAGGACGTTTTTTATATGATGCATGCATTCAAAATCAGTAATCCAAGCAGTATACCAAGCGAAATAAAATTTAATGTGCAGCATATAGTTTCTGGCATGCCAGAAGTCATTTATGTGACAAAAGTAAATATTGCTGTTGACAAAGTATTCCGTAGGGTTTTATTAAAAAAAAAATAATTTTGAATAATTTATTGACTGGATTACTTTCTGCCCATCAATGGGTATTTCACATAATGACATTGAAGCCACTATTTTGCTTTGAAAAATACAAGTTTCTCGACAGAAAGGATATAAAATCAAAACTTGCTGACAGATTAATCTGAAATTTTGACAGTAATCGTTTGAAGGATGGTTATTGTCAATCGTGACAACATTTTATAATTATTATTGCTGTGCTATCTTTTGGAAATTCTAAGAACTTATCAATATGCCCTCGTAGTTGTGGGTATTACTAGTTAAGTTTATTAGTTAATTATGTAAGGTCTAGGGGAAATAGCCCTAGGAGAGTGCGGGTACGCCTACACTTGTAAATATTAAATTTATGTGTTTATGGTAATTAAATTGAAAGATGACAATTAAATGTTTATAACCGCAGATTGTAAATTATATGCAATTATAATTGCTATAGCACGTACACGGCATTAAGTCGTATTAAAACAACATAAAAGATTATCGTTTTTCTTATAAGGAATATGGAATAAATTTCGAAAAGAAATATCTCTAAAATAAAAAACAAATAAAAGTATACTTTGTCTTAAATTGTAAAACGCTGTAAAGATATCAGTTGCAGTGACTGGTGGCAGGGGCATGCACGGTAGTTTTTTCAGAATACATTTAGCATTAAGCATTTCTGTTTCTATTGCCCCGTACTGATTAAAGAAGATTGATTAAAGAATTGTCTTGAATATAAAGCAGTACATGCAATTGAAATCAGGTGGGTGTTTTAGCATTTCATTAAAGGCAACACGCTCCCATAGATGGCGTATCCCTTTTCCCAGAAGCAGGATACTTCTGAATGAGATGAAACCTAAAAAATGCAAATCAAGTACATTCTTTACTTGGCAAATAACGAACACGAAGTGTTTTATTAATGGAATAAAAAAGTTTATCCACAGATTATTGGCCAGCCGTCAAGGGAATGATTTACACTCTCGGTTGCAATCGATGCTTGTTGGGGCTAATTAATTTTTTGTTTATGGTTCTTTAAATACGCAAATTCAACACACGAATAATCTGCCCATATGGATTCCCCACCGCGGCCCGGTGGGGAATTCCTCTAGATACTAATTTAAAAGCTAATTTAATAATGGAACGTTTCCAACTTGTTCGTAGCATTTTCAACTAATCAAAATACTTTATTCCACATTATATAATTAACTTGTATTTTTATTTCCCTTGCGGTTTGTGGTCATGATTCAAATCCAATAACAGGTAAAAATAGCTTTAAAAGAATGTTTAACTGAAGACAATTTAAAATCTAGTTTGACCTTATTTGCCATTGTTTGCTATTTTGACCTTTTTGCAGTACAAACAGTTGGCATTTCATGAAAAAGCGAGCAATGGTATAAAATATTATTTATTTCAGCCAATTAAAATATTTGTTTGTTGCTACTGCATGCAGTTATAATTCTTCGTAATCTATCGGGAAAAAACGTCGTTACGTTACGACGAGATTCTTGAAGACGTATTAATATGCACATTTTTGCAGAATAACGACACATCAGATATGGGAATTCAAATAGCGAATAATAAACGGTGAGAAATGTGCGCTAACAGTTACAACAAAAGCTGAAAATATCCTTTGGTGATTTTTTTCACTTATGCTACACATACTGTGCATTATCCGGGTGCTAATCTAAGATATACGTTCGCCGGTGTGCATTTACGTTGAAAATTATTAACGAGACGGAATTTTTATAAGCGCACTACAGTCGCATGTGCAACGTGGATTTCTTATGGTAAAACGCGTTTTAAACACGATCATTACTAAATCACGCCAGCGATTTTCAGCAAAAAACTTCGCTCGCAATAATTCTCGGTAAGAAAACAAGTGCCCATTAAAATGACGAATGAATGACAGCACCAGAAGAAAATCAAAATGCACATACCAACCCCCTTATTCCCCCCAATGCCCCCGGCGCGGTCTTCTCATCGAGCCTTGAAATGTCGACAAGTCAAGAAATAAAGAATGTGCTCTGAATTCGCTTATCAACTGGCACATAAAACGAAACGCTTGCCAACAAAAACATTTTAAAAATTAATTATAATGGTTTTTTCAGTTTTAAATTAAAATAAAATAACAACAAATAGCAGAACCGAATATGATGAACCTAATCTTCAAGCACTATTAAATATTTAATTTTAACGTATCAATGGCTTATTGTAATAATTTATAAATAAACTCATAAAATAAACTTATGAACCATCGACTTTAAATAACCCCAAAAGATAAAGTTTAATAGTGTTAAATCATAGCTTCTTGGAGGTACAGAGGCTTTATATAATGAATTGGATAGGTTGGAAAATAATGAATATTTTTATATACTTATTTTCAAATGATATTGATGCGAACATATTTTAATGACGATATTGTATGGTCAGTATTTCAAATTTAAGATATATGAACTCTGTTGGATATATGTATAATTAATGTTTTTTATCAATAAAAAAAACTCTTTCGATACGCTCACCTATTGTCTGTAGCTCTTTCTATGGACAAACCGCCCACAACTGGTATCGAGAACTCACCTAGAACAAAAAATAAACATTAATAAAGCGTGTAGCAGAATAGATAATGTCTAAAAAGGCACAAAAGCCGCATTTGATTACACACCAAAACAAAAGTCCACGCAAAGCAAAAGTGCATTTTTGATATGATTAAAATTACCACAGGTTTTAGAGATAAAGGTGATTTGTGTTTAAATTTTAAATTATTTACGCTGCTCACATTTACATAATTGTTATATTTAACATAATATACAGGTCTTCCATATTTCCTACTTCATAGACCAAAAAAGTGGGATTTGGGAGCATTGCATTGCCCGAGCGGTCGGCGAGTCAGTATCGCTTTGCAATCGTAGCAATAAAACGAAAGATAATCAATATAAATGTTTTTTGCATTTAACTTAAAATGTGCTTGATTAAGGGCCGGTTTATCAACCTCCAGTTAAGTTTTAGTTAGTCTGTCTGACAGTTAAATTCCATAACGATCGTTATAAGATACCATTCCATGGAGATTATCTGCCAGATATCTAACTGCAACTTTAACCGGACATTGATAAACCGGCCCTAAAACACTTAAAAATAAATCGATCCTCATAAAGTAAAAATAATTCTAAAAATTAAAAACTAAAATATTGAAAAAAATCATTAAGATACAGAATCGGGTAATCCCGCTGGCCAGCGGATTGGACCTCGATTTGATAAAATCCTTTGTCTCTAAATAAGTAATTAGTGACAACTCTAAAATTATTAGCGCCCCACTCAAACGTTATTAAGATTTTGGTTTAGGTATACCACTATTTCATTTCAAAGAAGCTCTAAATATTTATGTCCAGTTAAATTTTCTTCTATGAAAAATGGAACATCTGTGACCAATAACGGTGTGGAAGGATTAAGTTTACCGTGTAATTGAAACGCAGATTCATCAGTGAACACGATATTTTCAATAAAATGTTCATCTGCATTGGCACGTTCCACAAAATTCCATTCTTCGATATTGGTTTTCCTCAAAAATTTCTTGGTGGACTTAATATAATATATATTTGTATTATTTTTAAACTATATTTAAACTATAATATAATTATATATATTTATATATTATATGACCACACTTAATCCAGTCTCATTGGAAATATTACGGTAACTTCATCAAACATTGAAGAAACCCTTATCTCTTGCATTTCAGCATCAGGGTTTAAATGTTTTGGTTTGTTTTATTTACAATCCACACTGTAAAAAAAAGAGTGAAATTTCACTCAAAAATCACTCAATTATGTATCAGAAAAGGTCCACACCAGATTGAGTTAATTTTTTACCCAATTGATGTGAGTGAAATCTAAATAATTTAAAATTTTATGAATAAAAATATATCATCAAAACTCAGTGATTTTGCTGTTTAGATTCAGGTAAATATGAATTGTCTTGAGTCTCATACAGTACGAAACGTGATGCTGCTGATTGGCGACTCAAAGGCGTTTGAATTGACGCGAAAGGGATGATGGGAAAAATGCAAAAGCGCTCAGGAATGAGTTTTTTTTGCAAACAAATTAACAAATTGAGTAAAAGTCACCTAAAAAGAGTTTTTTCGCTTAATTAATCCTTTATGCGCGTAAAGTTAATCAGATTTGTTAAAAATATTGTCACAATTGAAAATCTTTGTAAAAAGACCCATTTTTAATTCAAAGTGTACTCAAATATTTAACTCATTAAATTAACTCATAACCAAAAACAAAGTTACTCAATGAGATTTTTTACAGTGCATAATGCGAGAGATAAACCACTGACTCTAAATAAAATTAATAATTGCACACTAAAAAATATTAAAACAATAAAATATAGTTAGAAAATAATAGTAGAGCCAACTATAATTATCATTATACAAGTCAAATGTAAAATAACCTGATGGTCACTTTAACTATATCTTTTTGGTTAAAAAGATTGTGGTTAGCTTAATTATAAATATCATAAATTGGTAAAATACATTTTTAATATAATTCTGACAACCACAATAAGTGGTCGGTGAATCGATTATTATAATTTGTGGTTATGCCAACAATGTGCTTTGATTGTATTTAAAGTTTCCGCGTTTTGCTGTCCAATCGGTGCGCTTGGCGGTCAACTATGCATCATTTGGTAGGGTTAGTTTCGCAAAGTGTATCACGTGTTAAAGATGGATGAAAGTAATTTATTAAGTTTGTGGGGCATAGAGCATCTAACGCCTAGATTTGGGGGTAAGTACCTATATTAAATTTTATAATAGCAATGCAATGTAAGACATACAAAAGTTTTCGCTAATGAGACAAAACGCGCCAAACCTGCCTGGACTTAACCATACAAAAGAATATAAAATCTATATCAAACTTGGTACTAACTGTAGGTACTCCATTTTTTCAAATTGGGTTACGTGTTTCTTATATACGTTAAAGTTAAGTTAAAATGCGTTAAAGTTGACTGGTTATTGGGTAATTACATTTGTTTATTAATTAGCTACATCTCCAATATTATATAGGGTATACCCTAGGTATATATACCTGTAGGTGCCCATGGGTAGGTACCTATATTTAAAAAAAAAAACAAAAATGACTTTAAATCACATTTTTATACTGTATATCAAGGCCTACGTACTGTATTTTTTTTTAAATATAACCTTAAACTTTGGTGAAAAAATTAATATTAATTTTTTTTCAAAAATACCATTTTTATTTGTTATAACTAATTTTATGATTAATCTAATAACTACCTACTTGCTTATAGTAGGTATGGTTTTGTTTTTTTACTAAACTAAATTAGCATCAAATAAACAAAAAATAATAATACATACAAAAATATCATTAGCTATTTTTAACGCTAAAACAAGTAAAAAATCAAATAAAAGTTAAAATTTTTGTTTTTTATTAAATCGGATGGATTATTTCAAAGTTGGCTTTGATATCTAACAATAGTTGTTAGATTTCAAAGCCAATTTTGTTAATTGTCAATTATTGACAAGCGACGTTTTTTTAATAATAAATCTTATTCTAGGTCGAGTGTTTTTACTGTTTGAAAAAATATCCATAAATATAAAATACATATTTTCGAAATCGGTCAAATGTAAATGTTTGCCGATATCTCGGAAATGATTGGAGATATCAAATACGGTTTTCAGTGAAAACTTTTCACTAACCGACGTTTTAAAAGAAATCGAGATCTAGGTTCACAGTTCATTTTATTATATATGCAGGACCATGGACTGTTTAACTCATTGCTATTATTGTTATTGTAAGATTTTTTAATAAATATATTTTTTATATTATAAATTGTATTCATTCAAATTTCCCGCCAAATTTATAGCATAAAGCCGAGTCTACAATTGTCGCAGGGGTCCGATCGCAGAACATAAGCTTGCGCAAAGCACCCCGCGACGTGGCGATGGAAGAAGTTTCTTTTGTCAGCTGGGTGCTTTGCGCAAGCTTATGTTCTGCGATCTGCGACCTGCGACAATTGTAGACCCGGCTTAATAGAACAAAATAATGTGATTGTCATAAATATAAAAGTGGTTAAATTAACAATAAGAAAGGATTGCAGTAACTAAAATTTTATAGCTCTTGGAACATTTAATTAAAATTAATGGTCAACAGAACCATAACATATAATTAATAAAACTATATTCCATTTGGTTGTACTAACAACACCACTATAGTTAACTACACAATGTGATTGCTTTAACCATATTCTGTAATAATAACTTTATGGTTTCTCTGACCACTGCAAATCATTGTATCATATTTAATAATTGATTATAGTTGCAATTGTCATAATTATTGTAATTACGACCATACATTTTTTAGGAATTGAAAATCTTTGTAAAAAGACCCATTTTTAATTCAAAGTGTACTCAAATATTTAACTCATTAAATTAACTCATAACCAAAAACAAAGTTACTCAATGAGATTTTTTACAGTGCATAATGCGAGAGATAAACCACTGACTCTAAATAAAATTAATAATTGTATACGAATTAAGGGATAAGGAAAAAATTAAAAGGCTATACGCAACGTGTCGCTAAGAGACATTTCTTTGTGATAAGAATTTGTTCTTATTAATAAGATTTTTTTCTTATTAATAAGGATTGGACGCTTGTACAAGCGTCCAATAAAGAAAAATGTGGTTTATCCCTCACCAAAATGCACCCATTTGAATTAAAATGATCAAATCTTTGGCCTAATCACGTAGTGACCTATCTACCATTTTGTATATATAACAAGTTAAGTTAATTATGAAAATCCTAATTGTTTTTCAATTTTTTGGGTTAGGCCACTTCATAATAAGGACGAAGAAATATTACAAAAAAAAACCAAATGCAGAAATCGGTAGGTGTACGTTAAAAATTTTGAATGGAGCTGATCTGTTGACAGGGCTCTTAAAACATGACAAACCAACATATTTTCACAAGAGACAAGAGAAAAAAAATATTCTTATTTTTTGGGCCACCCTAGTGTACGTGCCTAATAGAAAAAAGAGCTTGTTTTGGCAAAATAAATTACCCTAAAACAATCATCCAATCATGTACATTTTTTATGCCAATGTATATGACATACATGTAGGGTTGGGACAGTTGAAATTTTCAAATGAAAATTTCAACTTTGAAAGTTTCAAACTTGAAATATTTCATTTAGTGGGAAAAGTGAAATTTTTAAAAATTTCAAATGAAATTTTCAATTCGAAAATTTCAACATTGCCTGTGAAACTTTCAGAAATTTCAATGAAAGTTTCGCAATTTACTGAAAATTTCGCATAAATTTCACATGCGGCCTCCTCTGGGACCTTTAATAATAATTTACAACAGATTCCGAATCGACCAATAAGAACGAGTTATTAAGCATCTGGGCGTTTTTGTTTAGTTCGGCTTGGATTTGAATACACTATAAGTAATTATTGTTACCTATATGCATACATTAATTTAAATAATTTAATTCAGTTCCCAAATTAATTTGTAAATTAAATCAGACTTTAAATTTTTTTAAAAGTCATGATTAATTTAAAATTT